TACCAAAATGGCATCTTAGCCAGTGAATAGGAAAATCTAGTATCTGGGAACTTCCAGCACTGATCCTGCTGGTTGAGATTGCCCAGATACATGTGAGCTCCTATTCAGTTCTGCCCGAAGTTTCCACACAGCACCAGAGATAGGTGACCTGCTGCAGCTACCTAGCCACACAGCCTCCCAGAGATGGGTGTGACTTGCTAAGATGCCAGTCAATCTGTTGACTGCAAGACACTACAAAGCAAGACCCCACCCGCTGAAACCTTATCCCTGCTTAAGGCCCTCCCTTAAATAAAGAATAGGAGCCAATTTTTAACTGCTCTGTTCCAGCTCCTACCAGGACTGGAAGAATCTATTAGGCTCTGCTTTAAAAACTAACTCTGACTTTGTCTCTTATTTCTTCATTAATTACTTCAGACTATATTTTTCTCAGGTGACTTAACCTCTCCTGAGCAGGAAGAATTACCCTAGTGAGGTGCTGGCCACCTTGCAATAATCAACAGTGTTGGCTTGAATTTGAAAATACTCCCTGCATTTCATTGTGTAACGGTGAGCACACAGGAATCTGAAAATACTCCCCAGGTGCCGAAGTGACCAATAGAATTCAAGAACTGGATCGCATATGAATTTGCGCATGAGAGGAAGTAGTTCTCTCAGGAAGAGGTTCAACTGTGTAGCTGATTTAATGATGAGAGAGCTAACAAAGAAAAGTCAAACTGCCGAGTTGTTACCAAATGGGATAGGCCTCTAGAAGTTACAAAGTATGTTCCCTCTACTTTTTCTTATTTCTACAAGTTAAATAGCACCGTTCCTATTTTGCCAACAAAGGAATGTAATCAGGCAGGCAATATTGTTTACATTGTACAGAAATTTGGAGATGAAGAAGAATCATATTAATGTCCTCATGAAATCTTGACATAATCTTTTTGCAAATGGAACTTTAATAGAATATTTGTTTGGAAAGCATACCTTTTAACTTACCAAGGAGGTATAATTCTGGCAAATACATAATAAAATAACCAATGTAAAGCTGTAAATCTTGGGTAAATGTGAACTCTAGCAGCCTGTATCACTTTCTCTCCTTTAATTATACTGATGCCAGAGGAAAAGGCACCCACACAATAAAGCTACTAATTTTGAAGCTTATGTAACATAGGGATGGGTGAATTATAAACTTCATGAGCAAGAGATGCTAGAAAAGCCTAAATAGAAGAACATCTTCCAAGTCTAGAATTCCAACCAGTCTCTCCCTAGGTATTTTGAGAGTTTATATCACATTTGGATTTCTATTCATGTACTTTGAGCAGTGGAAAACAATACCAGTTCCATAGTTCACTTACATTAGTATATAATATATTCTATAATACGAGTTTCTCTCTGGAGATGGTTATGTGGAAGGGTTGCTGATAATAATAGCTATGGCAATTAATTTGATTTTTAAAATGCTTTTTCAGTCCCTAGAAATTGAAAATAATGGCTACAAAGTTAAGCAACTAAACAGAAAGCAACCTATAACATGAATAACATACACATTCAGGAAATTTATTTAATTTTGAGGAATATGTTCATTGTTGACTTAGTGATGTTTTCCAGAACTGTAAAAGAATTAAACTGTAGAACAGTCATTCTTTTCCACATTTTAATTTGTGCATTATAGTTGTATATGATGATGAGATATATTGTTACATATTTATACATGCACATGATATATAATATAATATGGCTAATATCGCTCCCCAGAACTCCACCCTTCCCTCCTATCTTCCACCCCTTTGTGCCTTTCTTCTTGATCTCCCTTTGACTTCCCTACCTTTCTTTTCCTTTTTCCTCTCTGGCTTCCATGTGAGAGAAAACATATAATCCTTGACTTTCTGAGTTTGACTTAATTATCTTGACGAGATGTTCTCAAGTTCCATCCACCTTCCTGCAAATGACATCATTTCATTTTACTTTATAACCAAAATAAAATTCCATTGTATATATATGCCACATCTTCTTTATCTGTTCATCCATGATGGACACTTAGACTGGTTCTGTAGTTTGGCTATTGTGAATTGTGCTGCTATAAACATGGATATGCATGTATCACTGTAGTAGATGACTTTAATTCTTCAGAAAAATACCAAGGAATGGTATTTCTGGGTCATATGGTGGATCCATGTCTAGTCGTTTGAGAAACTTCCATTTTGATTTCCATAGTGGGTGTATTAATTTGCAATCTCACCAACAGTGTAAAAGTTTTCCTATTTCTCCACATTCTCTCCAGCATTTATTATTATTTATATTCTCAATGACTGCCATTCTGACTGGTGTGAGATGAAATCTCATTATAGTTTTGCTTTGCATTTCCCTGATTGCTAATGATATTGAACATTTTTTATGTGTTTGTTGGCCATTTGTATTCTTCTTTTGAGAATTGTCTGTTTAATTCATTGGTCAATTTATTAATTAAGTTATTTGGGTTTTTTTGGTGTAAAGTTTTTTGAGTTCTTTATATATTCTAGATATTAATCCTACGTCAGAAGAGTAGTTAGGAAACATTCTCTCCCAGCCTGTGGGCTCTCTTCACATTCCTAATTCTTTCCTTTGTTCTGCAGAATCTTTACAATTTGATGCCATCCCATATATTAAACTTGTGGCATTATTTCTTGAGCTTTAGGGTCCTATTAAGAAATTTGTTTCTTTTGTCTATATGCTGAAGTGTTGACTCTGTGTTTTCTTCTAGGAGTTGCATATTTTCTGGTCTAATTCCCAGGGCTTTGACCCATTTTGAGTTGATTCTTGTGCAGGGTGAAAGATAAGGGTCTAGTCTCATTGTTCTATATATGGATAATCAGTTTTCCCAGTACCATTTGTCTTTTCTTCAATGTATCTTTCTGACATCTTAGTCAAGGATAAAAAAACTGTAGATATGTAGGTTTGACTCTGTGTCATCTATTCTGTACCATTGGTCTATGTGTCTGTTTTTATGCCAGTATCAAGCAGTTTTTGTTATTATAGCACTGTAGTATAATTTGAAGTCGGATATTGTGATTTCTGCAGTATTGCATTTTTTTTTCTTAAAATTGCTTTGGCTATTCTGTCTTTTATTCTTCCAGGTGAATTTTAGGACTGATGTTTTTCTAGTTATGTAAAGAATATCATTGGTGTTTTGATGGGGATTACATTGAGTCTGTATATTGCTTTTGGTAGTATGAGTGGCCATTCTTACATCAGAATTATCTCAAAAAAATTTTAGTTACTACTGGAGAATACAAGATGGCTGTCACCATAACGGTAATTGCATTCAGAAGTCAGAAACTCATGCAGCCCCAACCCTAATCTTTTGAATCATACTTTTTTTGAATCATCCTTTCTATTGGGGAATAAATATCTCCTCCAAGAGTATAATGGCAGACAACATAGATCATAGCCCCAGGACTCATAAGTGATTCTGCTGTATATATAATAGTATTCTTAGTAATTCTTCATTTCTTATATTGAAATTGCTTGTATTCACTGCTTGTATCATCATGTGAATAATGGCCATTTCCTGGCGGCACCCCTGTGCCCTGCCTCAAGCTGGGAAGTGGCTTTGCCTTGGTGCCGGGGGGGATTCACCACCATTGGGATATTTTTTATAGAAAAAAAATGTGAAGAGTTTTTCTTTAAAAACAAAACAACAAAAAAAAACCTTCCATACAACTGATAATTTCACAAGGGGGGCCCTATCAGAAAATTACAAGCTACTAAATGATGCATGTGGCACATTTTTATTTAAAGATATCCATTTCTGACCACTGAGGGAAATAGCCAGAAGAAGTTGCCGGAACAGCTCTGAGCTCACAGTCCTGAAGAGCTATCAGGGATGGAAGGTGTTAGAAACCTCCCCTCTTGGCTAACCCACGTACTTCCCACTCTTCATTTGTGCACACTTCAATTTACAAACTTTGGCATCAATGGAACCCAAAGCAAAGAGCAATTCCACATGGGAACACTTTGCTTTTATATAAATAGCAGCCATAAGATGGCCTGTCATCTCCATTTCCCAAACCCCATGTGCTCCCTTCTCTCCTGCCTCCAGCAGGGGCCATGAGGAGGGTTTGGGTGGTGAGGCACACAGTCACTGCTGCAGGCAGGCCCACCCCTAACCCCTGGCCCTCCTCTGACTTCCTAGCAAACAGTATGAAGGAGATGATGTCACAGAACTCTCTGAGGTCTCCTATGCCTTCTCAGATGTGATTTCTCCAACAGTTGCCACCCACCCTCTCCACACAGCTCAGGGAGGGATGCCTTCTGCCAAAGGACATGAGCTCAAATTCATTCATGTCTACACTGGCTCTAAGGCAAAACACCCATCCAACTGGGTTAAGGGGAGCATATCTCCAAGGCACTGGGTCAAAGCAAGTGAGTGCACATCTACATTGGCTAGAGGCAAGAGACCCTTCCACAATAAGGTAACTGAGTCCCTTTCTACACTAGCTAAAGCCAAGCAAGTTCCCTTGTACACTAGATGACGTGAGTCCTCCTCAACACTGGCTCAAAGTGAGTAGGTTTATCTACATTGAACAGGAGAGGGAGGCAAGTGGTCCAGGCCTTGGAGAGGATTCCTGGTGGGCTCTCGCCCTCTCTTGGAAACCCCCTGCCCCCACTTTTTGACATCAGCCTTTTTTTTTTAATCTTTGGAACATCAATTTGACTATGGAATTTGAGAGAAACAAATTTATTAAGAAATATCTCTGTCATCCCAGGAGCATGGGAGAAAGGACACAGAAGAGCAGGGCAGGGGAAGGGTCCCAGGGAAAACAGTCTCATCTGATGACTCTGGTAGGTGGGGGCAGGGGACACCTGATGTCCAGGTGTGCTCCTGGCTGGACCCCATGTGGAGAAGCCCAGCCAGTAGGCACTCAGTCCTGCAGCTGTTGGAGTCCAGGTGACCAATGGTCCTGTAGTGACAACAGCATCCACGGAGTAGAGAGTCCTCTGCTGGCTGTTTCTTCGTTTGGTCCATCTGAACTGTCCATTTATGTAGGAACCACCCGATTTGCGAACCTAGCAGGTTTCTGCTCTCCTGGTGTAGGAGCCTCGTTTTCGCCAACACATGAGGGTGTGCAACAGCACAGTCTGCGCAAGCAGGCAGCCATCCTCTGCCTCACCCGCTTCCAGCCCTTCCTGTGGCCCCAGGGACGCCCTGTGGTGGCATCTTGGGAGACATGGCTGTCTGTTGTTGATGGGCAGGGTTGGGGTGAGTTGGACACAGAGTGATGCTGGGAGGCTAACCTGGGAGTGGGGGGCTTCTCATGTAGGAAGCAGAGACTAATGGCATGCCAGCTGGCCCTTCTGAAGCCCTTCTGCCCTGACTCCTTGGCCTCCTGAGGCTGATGATGCTCACAGGGCAAGGGGAAGGTGTGAAGGGCAGGCTCACTCGCCCTCCTCTGCGGGAGGGCAGGGGAAATGGAAGGATCCCTTCTCACAGGCTTCATGCAGCCTGCCCCCTGGCTTATCTGCTGCTGGATTATGAGATAGGAAGCCATCGCCTCATCAAACTTTCTCTGGGACAATGACACCCAGGTACTGTAAGGGTCGTACCCCATGTCGAACAGCATTGTCAGTACTGTGGGGTCTGAGAGGTTGGGGAGGGGCACATCATGGAAAGATGACTTCTCCTCACCCTGATTCAGCCACGGGTCCGCCAAGATCTCCTCTGCCGAGGGGCTTGCTCTTGGGTTCTCTGCCAGGATTTTCCTGATGAGCCTTTGTGCTTCGGGGGACACGTGCTGGGAAAATTCCAACTCGGGGTGTAAGATGTCATGCGGGCGGTTCCCTGTCAATATAAAGTTCAAAATGATACCCAGTTTCCAGGTGTCCACTGCGGGGCCCTCCAGAGGACCCCAGGCTCTGTCCCATTCTTGCCCAGGCTTGAGAACGGTGCTTAAGCCAAAGTCGATGATTCGGATGTTGCCTCTGGCATCCAGCACAACGTTCTGGGGCTTCAGGTCTCCATGCAAGATGTGCATCTTGTGGCAGTAGCACACCACACAGGTGATCTGTCTGAACAGTCTCCGGGCCTCCTCCTCCTCCTGCATGCCCCCAGGTGGGATGAGGTCAAAGAGTGATGCCCTGCCTCCATGCTCCATCACCAGGTAGACATATCGGTGGGTTTCAATAACCTGAAAGAGGTGGATCACATTCGGGTGGTTCAGGGTCTTCATCGCCAGTTTTTCAGGGCAGGTCAAACTCCTCCAAAGTCTCTTTGGCAGGATTTTCACTGCCACTTCTGCCCCAGTGCGCAGATGGCGGGCTAGGATCACCTGACCAAATGTCCCATGCCCAATGTCCTTCTAGACCTGGTAATGGTCTGTGAAGGCCTTCTCCTGGCAGGAGCAAGGCCCCTTTGGCACTACACTAGACTCACTACTCTTACTATGCATCCTAAGCAGGAACACCAACTAAGGATGCTAGCTAAAAACAAAATAAGAAATCAAAACAACAAACAAAATCAAGAAACAAAACAAAACAAAAAACCCAAATCAAAGAACCAATCGCCAAAGACCACAACCACCAACCGCCAACCACCAAACGCACTAACTAGCTGGGAGTCCGACAGGTCACCACCAAGAGCTTCCTGTACTTATGGACAAAAACTCGGCCTCAGCCATTCTGTTATAAATCCGGGGATTGAGATTTCCTCACAGTGGCTTCTTGTGACGTCAGAGCAAGAAATGGCCCAGTCACACCTAGGCATCACCCACACAGGTCATCTCCCTTTGGGCCTACAGGATATTTTCCACTTTCAGAATAAGAATAAAGGACTCCGGAAGCTTTATGCTTCAATGGGTTATGGAAACTGATATTTATGTTTAAAAAATGAGAGTATCTCAATGTACTTTGTATAGTAAGTACTTCAATGGAAATTTCCTTGTAAATCTAAAGTCTTTCATACCTTTGGATTTGAAAGGCCTCATCATATCTGCACTCAAGGTATTCAACTGGTTTTCTTCCAACACTGAATCAAAAGAATGGTAGCACCTCACTCACATTGTAATACTGTAACAAAAAGCTCTGTTCCCTAAGACTGTAGAGCATGATATGCACACCTACAAGGTTGAGAGGGAGGAAGGGCTCATTATAATTTCTCTATAAGGTCCTCAACAAATCTCTCATTAGAAGCAGCAGAATGCAAAACACAATGTGTTGAAATATTCAAAGGGATAAAGGACAAACCCTGGAACCCAAGAATCCTAGAATCAGAAAAATGTCCTTCCCAGAGGAGTAAAAAAATGGAGGTGTTCTCAAATGACTAGGTTCCTTCATTTTTTTTTTTTTTTTTTGGTGGTGCTGGGGATTGAGCCCAGGGCCTTGTGCATATGTGGCAAGCACTCTACCAACTGAGCTACATCCCCAGCCCAGATTCCTTCATTTTATTGTAATCAAATACCCCTATTCACAATTTATTAACAAATTAACTAGTCCCAGTTCTGTAGACTGACAAGTTCAAGGCCAAAGCACTCTTTTGGTGTTATGTCCTTACATGGTGTAGGGCCAGAAGTATAGAATTAATTCCCTCAAGAACCCCTTATCTTTTTTAGTTTTCTCTCGCTCTCTTGTTCTCTCGCTCTCTCTCTCCCCCCCCCTTACTGGCAACTCAATACATCAACCCAGAGCCTCTCACACTTCAATCAAGTGCTCTGCCACTGAGGTACATCTCTATCCTTTTTATTGTGAGAGAAGTTCTCACTAAGTGTCTTAGGCTGGGCTTGAATATGTATTCCCCCTGGCTTAGCAGAAAGGCTTATAGTCTCTTGAAGCTTAAAATGGAGTAGTCCCCAAAGCTGCTGTGTTAATGCAGAAATATTCAAAGTTAAAATGACTGGACTGTGAGAGTTGTGCCTGCTCAGATTCTACTAGTTTCAATGGATTAACTGGGTATTAACTGTAGGCAGGTAGAATATGACTGGAGGAGATGGGTCACTGGAGTCATGCCCTGAATGGGTGCTTCTTCCCTGTGTCTCCTTCCCATCTTTCTGCTCCTTTGTTGCCATGAATGGAGCAGATTTCCTGTTCTTGGCCCTTGATGTACTGCCTCACGTTGGGCCCAGAGCAATCTAAATTTTCATCCTTAAGTTATTCTTGTTGGGTGATATGGTTATAGCACCAAATAAGTCTAAGTGAAATAGAAATTGTACCCATAAGTGCAATCACTGCTATGACTAAGTGGACCACGTGGATCAGACACCTTTGGAGCTGGTTTGCCATAGGAATTTTTAACAGGTTAGAGAGGCAAGACTGAAAAGCTTTGAAGTGTAATTACCAGAGCTAAATGTGCAATTCTGGGGGAGCTCAGAGTACCATCAACAGGAATGCGGACACCGTGTTAATGAGGTTTTAGAAGGAATTGAAGAGTATGTGAATTGGTCTAGAGACAACTTTTGTTATTTACTTTCAATGAACTTGATAACATTTTGCCCATTTCCCAAGATTGTTCCAGGCTGAATTTTAAAGCAGTGGACTAATTAATCAGGTGAAGGAAATTTCAAAACAGCATAGCATTCAGTCACTGGCATGGACATTGCTGTCAGCTTTTAGGCCAATTTACTGTGAGAATGGGGAGAAGTAAACAGAGCTAAAGGATTTTTAAAACTTGTTTTGGACAGAAAAGCACATCAAAGATGAGGCAAAGGAAGATGGGCTTGTTGAAGAGATTACAGACTCTGAAGAGATGCTAGGTTCTTTGCACAAACATGATAGGAAAGATGCCTTGAGCATACCTCAGGAATTTGCAAGACTATAACCACTAAGATGGCTCCAAAGTACAGAAGAGAATATTTGTTTGAATAGAGATCATGGGATTCTCTGATAACCCGGAGGATGCCTATAATATTGTTTCATCAAGCTTAAGTACACAGGCCCTCAGAGGCCACTTCAGCCTTGATGTCTGCACACAATGCACGCACTTGTTACACTGGTGACATCAGGAACCAAGGGAGATGGGGTACAGGTGTACAGGAGCAGCACTGTCCATGTTACTGAAGTAATGCTTCTGTATGTTCATATCAGACTGGTTTTTCTTTCTCATGTTCAAGGGACCTTCATGGAACCACAAATGCATAACATACCCAGACTGAAAGGGAAGGGAATTCAAGTGTTTCACTACAAATATCTACTAGATAATCATAGAAGGATCAAAGACACAGTGAATCAAGAGCTTGCCCATTGAACCAGTAGCCTACTCTGCTCTCCTTATAAGGAAGCAGGTCACACTGAACCAAGAGTTCATCCTATTCCCTTATGACCCCATCTTGGGGTAATTACATCATCATCATGCCATTTCTGAAAAAAAAAAGTTTTTGGTCTGGAGATAGAACCTAAGCCTGCTTTGCAGGGATATAATTCAACCCATATCATTATGAATTCCTATTTTTCTAAGAGTTTTTATTCCATAGATGTTGAATTTGGCAATGTGATTTTTCTACCCTTGTCAATGAAATGTATTATTATATAAGGATTTTCATGTCTATTTCATGATGGACTTTGACCAGTCAATTTGGGGTTTGTTCCATTGTTTTATTTTGGCACAATCTTTTCTGGTTTAATGATCTGGTAATGTCAGCCTCATTAAATAAGTTGTGAATTGCTCCCTGTTTTTCTACATCCTGGAGATGATTGCATAGAATTGCACTAAATCTTCTTTAATTGTGCAGTAGAATTTTCCAGTGATATCATCTATTTGAGGATCCCTTTGGAGATTTTCAAATTAGAAATTTAACTTCCTAATGATCATTAGACCCTCAAAGGCTCATGTTCTTGTGGTAGTTCATGCTTTTCCAAAAAATAATTATTTCTTTCATCTCAGTAGTAGTGTATTCCATTGTACAGTTATACTACTCCATTTCTGTTACTCTCGTGAAATTAACAAAGGCTAACTAAGATGATCAGGCTTGGCTTGAACACATGATCCCCTGCCTCAGTGTCTCGAGCAGATGGGCTTACAGCTGCTTGTGATTTAAAATGCAGTGATTCCTGAAAGCTCCTGTGTTCATACAGGAATATTCAAAGGTAAAAAGACTGGATGGCAAGAGCTGTACCTAATCAGACCCTCCTAATTTCAATGGACTAACTGGGTGTTAACTGTAGGCAGGTGGAATGTAACTAGAGGAAGTGGGTCACTGGAGTCAAGCCCCAAAGTGTGCTTCTTCCCTGTGTCTCCTTCCCCTCTTTCTGTTGCCTTGTTGCCATGAAGGGAGCAGCTTTCCCTTGCTTGGCCCTCGCCCCATGATATGCTCCTTCACATTAGGCCCAGAGCATTTTTGTGTTGGATCCTCTACAAACTGAGACCTTTGAATTCATAAGCTCTGGATAAAGTTTTCATCCCTAAGTTGTTCTTGTTGGGTGGTGTGGTTACAGCATGAAATGAAGCTAACTGAAACAGAATTGGTACCAAGAACTTGATTCCATTTGCCCATGCCTTGAGACTCTGTGAGGCTGCCTTTTTTTTTTTTTTTAAAGGGGGCTAACTAATCTGGTAGAGGAAATTTCAGGACAGCACAGCCTTCAGTTAATGGCAAGGATATAGCTGGTAGCGTTTAGCCTGATTTACTTTGAGAATGGAAAGGAAAACAGAGCTAAAGGATTTTCAAAACTTGTAGGTTGGACAGATCTTGGGAAAGTGAGGAGGTGACTGTGACCATTTGTTCTTGGTGAAGCGGCAATTCCATCATAAGATGATTCTTTATATCTCTGTTAATAGCCACAAGCTGCTAGTTTCCACTGCTATAATCATGCTTGCTCAGCAGCTGTGGCAGGAACCAGGGTCCCTTGTTGAAAGGGGGAGAAATCAAGGCGACTTGCATGAGAAAGTCTTGAAACCTAGAAGTCTGTACTGTACAAAAGATACTGCGAACAGAGAGTGGTGCTCCGTCTTTGGAAAAGACTCCATTGGAATTTGCAGTCCCACCAGCAATATATGAGTAGACTTTTTCTCCACATCCTCACCAACATTTATTGTTATACTTCCTTTTGCCCATGTACTGATTAGGTTATTTGGGTTTTTGTTTTTGTTTGTTTTTTGGTGTTAACTGTTTTTTTTTTGTTGTTGTTGTTCTTTGTGTGTCCTGGGGATTAATGCTGTATCTGAGGTGCATGTGGTAAAGATATTCTCCCATTCTGTAGGCTCTCTCTTCATGTACTTGATTGATTCCTTTGCTATGAAGAA